TTTTGATTGTAAACAAAGAAGTCTGATTGATATGAGTATAATTTAACCCATTAAATTAAAAAACACACAAACTGCACTCAGACTTATTTATGTCTCTTACCTGAAAAAAATAGTAGTGAGTACTCCATTGTAATAGTTCTGATACAAATTATGTATTAGGGTTTCACAGGAAACCTGCTGAGAGAGACAGGACTAAAACTACAGCCTATTCTCCCTCCAGCTACTTCTTTCAATGTACTTAATATTTCTGACCTCAGAGTGACCCGTGCAATTACGTTTTTTATGTTTATTTCCAAGCTGTGCTTTGAAAAAGGTTCTGAGTAGGACTCATTAGAATTGAATGTTTGAATTCCTGAGTACTTTAGGTGAAAAATCTTCAGCCTGCTATTTCAGGTTTCACTTATAAAAATGGTATTTCTGCCCCATGTATGACACTCTGTGAAATGAAGTGTGACACTTCAGTTTTTTTGTTACCTCTAGAAGTTCAGAAAGTTAATGGCTGGTGCATATTCATGAATTCAGGATGAAGGATGCAAAGCAGGGATATTACATCAGTGCACCACATTTTCCCTTAAAAACTGTCGCTGAAACAACACCCTGACTTTATATGCATGAACATCATTTGGCTAAAACTTTCAGTTTCTCAGTTTAATAACAAAAGACAGCATAAGTTTTAGCTGCTGATAGTTGGAAGAGACCTGTTGGAGCTGCCCAGGGATCAGGTTGTTAATCTCTTTTCTCTGGCACTTTAGAATTAGAGGAATTACATTTTGACTTCTGTGCTACTGAATTGATCTGCAAATCACATTCCATCTCAAATGGTTATGAATTAAGGGTAAGTGACTGTAAGACAATTACTATAGGGTTCACCCTCTGTAAAAATTGCTGTTCACATCTAAAGCAGGCATACAGTATCTACTGATGACTAACAGAAGCTGGCCATATGGAAAATGACTTCTTGAAAGCAGGAGGTGTTTGCTTCCTGCTGCAATTGGATGCATTATCACTCTTCAGTATTCAGCAGTGTTGGGATACTGGTCTAGAAAGTTTTCCTGAACTGTAGAGTACACAGCACTTCAACTAATTATTAATTTTAATATAAGATTCTTTGAGGGCCTGAGTGGAAAACATGTGGACAGTTCCAGTGACTTGAGAGTTAAAGAAGGCTTTAGAGGAGGCTTTTGTATAGCGGTGTAAGTAGCTGCAAAGTTTCCTGGATTCTTCATTTGTTAGTTAAGAATAAAAATTCTGTTAATGCAGTTTTTAGAAACTGCATTTTTCTTGAAATCCAAGTTCAACTTCTTTTCTATGGTACTGTGTATTAATTCCCAATGAATGAAAACTCTATTGAAGCTTGTTATGGTTAGTGTAAATCAGTGAAAAGGGATGAAAAGTTGGTAACAGTTGGCCAGGCAATCAGTTTGTAGCTAGAATTATTAGGAGCAGTAAGAAACTATAGTTTAATTACAAAAAAACCCCAAAACCCTATGTCTTATTAATGGTAAACTGTCAGTCATCTGCAAAAACAGCTTTAATATTCAGAAGAGAATATATTTCACTTTTTTAAACTAGCAGCATAAGGCATTCCAGTCTTAAACGATTGAAAGCAGAATATCTTTTCCTGCATATGTATCTAGGAAGAATATAAAAATCGAATATACTACTACTAATGCATCTTAAAAGTCACATTACAAAGTCAAAAACTCAGAATCTAGTTTATCACATGGTAGAGATTTCCTCTGGACTTTTATTGCTGTGTGTCATCCTCTCGAAGTGCATCAAATAGATCTGAGTGCAGCAATTTTTAGACACTTTGAGTAGTGCCTGCCTTTTCTTTTAATCCTATTGGCATTGCGTATTTATGGAGTAGGTTGCTCTCTGGTGTGCACAGTTTCATGATCTACCCAGGCAATACTTTGGAGCAAGCTATGAGCAGTACTTTGTATTTCTAGTCCTTTGCTACTCCTCAGCTGAGACAAGAGAAATTCCCTTCTTCCCTGTGTGCATCTGACCCACTCAAGGGCCCAGCCTGAAATTCTGAAGTGTGATGTATCACTCTTGTTATAGTCTCTATTTTAATGCCCTCGTATACCCTTGTGAAGCTCAGCTAGGCCAAGTGAAGGTTCTGCATCTGGCTCAGGGCAATCTCCGGTATTTGTACAGACTGGTGGATGAATGGATTGAGACCATCCCTCTGAAGAAGGACTTCGGAATATTGGTAGATGAAAACTTAGACATGAGCTGGCAGTGTGTACTTGCAACCAAAGACAGCCAACCATACTCTGGGATGTATCAAAAGAAAATGTGGCCAGCAGGTCAAGGCAGGTGATTCCTGCTCTGCTCTGGTGAGACCCCACCTGCAGTGCTGCATCCAGCTCTGGTGCCCTAAGCAAAAAAGGGACATGGATGTCTTGGAGCCAGTCCAGAGGAGGGCCACAAAAATGACCAGAGGGCTAGAGCACGTCTCCTGTGAAGACAGGCTGAGAGAGTTGTGTTGTTCCACCTAGAAAAGAAAAGATCTTGTGACCTTTGATGTATACATGGGGCTTATAAGAAAGATGGAGAGAGACATTTTACCAAGGCCTATTGTTACAACAGAACAGTCATTGGTTGTGAACCAAAAGTGACGGTATTTGATATAAGGAAGAAATTCTTCACAATGAAGGTGTTGAGACACTGTAACAGGCCCAGAGGAACTGTGGGTGCCTCATCCCTGGAAGTGTTCAAGGCCAGGTTGGATGGGGCTCTGAGCAACCTGGTCTAGTGGAAGGTGTCTCTGTCCATGGCAGGGGAGTTGAAACTAGATAATCCTGAAGTGTCCCAGCCAAAAGCATTCAATAATTTTATGACTCCATACAAGTGGACCAAATGCAATGCCATGGACAACCTGAATTACAAGAACTCCTGGAACTTTCAGATTTGTCAAATCTGGTTTTGAAGAAGGATGGAACCAAGGTTAAAGTTTCGTGGAGGTACTTGTAATGAAAGTTTCAGCTTAAATGCTTAGTTGAGGAAGACCCTAGAAGTGACTGAAAACAGGGTTACAGAATGATAAATCATTAGACAGACCTGTCAGTACTCATCACATCCAGTTTAAACTACCAGGTCAGTCTAAGCAGTCATAGTCCTTCCCCTGCTTCTCCAGTATTGCTGTCAGATGAACTCCATAGGGACAAGCACTTTAAAGAGTAATGGCATTATTAGAGTTTTTATTTTTGTATTAAGATGAATATGAGGCAGCTTCAGTCCCGTTTTTCTGGTAGTACAGTACATTCAGTGTGTGGAATTTAGCTGTTAAATTACAGCTATGGAAATTTCCAAGGGGGAAGAAGCTAACAAAATAAGTAGCTTTGTCTGAACACTGCAAGAACAGTATATGATCCCACATCTATGCAACCAGCTTTAGTGGAAAAGCAATTCTGAAATTGGGACATTCAACAAGGAGCAGAATTTGTATTTAATTTTTGTATTTGACATCACAGACTCAGCTCTTTCTGTAGTAAGCTCTTTGAGTCTATTCCTACTGATGTTTATTCATGATTTTAAAGAATGACAATGGATTTCTGCTAATGTTTCCTTCCAATTCAGAGTATTTTTAAATATCTATTTCTTCCATACTGTCTTTTTAACTTCTGATACTTCTCACTGTGCTTGTTTGTCTTTTTGCTCTGTTTCTACATTTTTCACCAGCCATGGATATATTATTGCCCACCCATTTATCTTTGGAAAAACAAACTCCTAAACTGCAGGGCTTTGGTAGTGTCTGCTGCTTGTGGACAGTCATCCTAAGATATTGCAAACAGGCAGACAGCAGTACGTTTACATGTGATGCTTACTATTTCAGGTATTATTTATATTGAGATACTGTTTCCAGTTTATCAGTTTATCACAGGAGATTAATCTGAGAAAATCCAGGCCTACTACTTAGTAGATTCTCTGCAGAGAGATGAATCAGCTATATTTATTCTCCAAATAAATGCTTTCTCACTGCTTGCTTTCTTCTCACCCTAGTCTTTGCTGAAGCATTTCTGGCATTCCTATAGTGTTGTGTGCAGAATGAAAGCCAGATTAGTTATGTCACCAAAACTAAACTAATCCTTGAGGTCTGCTTGGGCTCATGGTAATGGATTTTGTGTGAGAATCTTACAGATGTGTGAGCAAACAGACTGCAAGACACAATGCTGTAAATAAAGCTGCAGGCCTAGAGGGCTGCAGTGTTTCTCAGGCTGCCTTTATCCAGAGCCAGAGGGCTGCTGCAATTCATTTTGCTCCCACTTCCTCCTGGGGGCCAGCTCTTTTTAAAGCAGATCAGGATAAGAGAGCAGTAAGGCCTGCCTGAAGAAACCAGAGGGCTCTGTCTGCTGAACTTCATGGCTGGAGGTCGGGAATGCAGAGTAAGACATCCTGCATGGTAGAGAGAGAGACATCAATTCTTATTTGAAAATAAGGGATAAATGTGCAGGCAAAAGTCTGTAGCAGTAGCATCTCTTCTTAAATTATACCAGGAAGAGCTACCCACTAATGAGAAGTTAGATAGTCTTCACTGTTTTTTATGGTGATGTTTTGCTTTTTCTAATTCTCTTCCTGATATAATTTTCTAGCATATCAAATACTAATTATGAGTTATAATTATGTGGCGCTACTCTTACCCTTCAGCAAACTCAGCCAGGATAGTATAAAATGAAGCTGCAAGTGATTTCTTATTTAGGAAAATGCAATTTTCTGTGTTACTGCTGTGGGAGAATGTTGTCATATCTCAGCCCATGCCATACACTGTTCTAGACAATCTTCTTTGGTTATTAGGTGATAAACCACTGTGCTGTTGCTTGTTGGGTTTTCACTGTACCTGTTTGCAGACTCAGGTAATTATGCTCTTTTATCTAATTGCTTATTTATGGGTGTTTTGCTCACACGTTTTAAGCAACTGTTTGATTGCAGCCCTAATGGCAGGGTTCCCCTCATTATCACACCATAACTCCGGGTTTGTCTGATTGCTGCAGGTGGAAACAATAGGTGATGCGTACTGCGTTGCAGCAGGGCTCCATAAGAAAAGCCTTAGTCATGCCAAAGCCATTGCCCTGATGGCACTGAAGATGATGGAGCTTTCAGAAGAGGTTCTTACTCCAGATGGAAGCCCGATTAAGGTAACCCCTTTGCTCTTTACTCTCAGCTGGTCAGTGATACACAGACCTGATTTATTTCGTTATGTTCTGTGCCAGAGTGTTTACACTTGCATCACTATGTCTGCAGCTCTGATGGGCCACAGGCCCCTTCTCCAAATTGGTGTAAACCTGCGTGAAAGAAGAATCTATGGACTGCCTGCTCCTTCTCAGTGTTAATGTGCTTCCTTCCCATGCTATGCCATTTCTGTTCCCTACTTTGTTACAGTGGGGGAAAAGCCAGATGTCGTTTTGTAACATTTTCAAGCTCCTCTGCTGTTCTGCTTCATTTGGTCCTATACCATAATATTCAAAAGAATACCATTCTGAAAAAATAAGTTGGACTGTGCATCTTGAAGAAAATTCTATTAAAACTTCATGTGAACATTCATTGAACACAAAATAAGCATTAAAAGACTGAAGATACCAGAAGACATAGCATTTTCAGTTTTTATATAAAACTATTTCAAGCAGATGTTAATTTAATCCTACTAAAATATATATTTTTGATTGATTTTATTTGCTTTTCCAATAATTAAAGGCAGTTATGTGTGCTAACTACACTGGTATGTGCTGGGAGAGCTGTCTTCCATAGCCTCTTCATATTTTCACTTTCTTTTGAGTCATTGCTTCAATTGTAGGGAAATTTTGAAGGTGTATGTTTTACTCTGAGACTCACTTTTTGTGACACATTATTTTTCAGAAAAATCCTCCTTTTTTCACTGTCTGCATGACAAAACCTGTTAAAGAAAAACAAAAAGACATTGTAGAGGAAATATGTATGGAATAAAATGCTGGGAATAACCAAATATTTTCCAAAAGTGCTAATAAACCTCCATTAGAATTCAGAAGAAAAAAGTTCATCATACTTAAACTGAAAGTAGAGGTGCTGAGAAGTTCATCATAATTTCTTAATTGTTCTGTTTTCCATTTTAGGTGTAATAGATTTCAGGGCAGGAGGGATGGTGATATTGTAGAATGTTGCTACCTTTGTACCTTATCTGGAAGCTGTGCTTAAAAATAAAGCTTATCTTTCATAGAAGGATATTCTGATTTGTTTTAAAGTTTATTAAGATTAGGGTTCCTCTCATGTGGCTACCTTTACCCTGTAAACTACTGCAATAAGGACTTTTGAAGAAGTCTACTTTAGTTTGTCCTAGTTTAGCTGTCTACTCTAGGACAAGATGAATCACTCCCTAAAAATGTGTGCTTTTTTAGTTGTCTGTAAGGGAGATTTATGTACTTAACCTAAATGTGGATGTCTATGCTGTGAGCTTCTACACTCTGTCACATGTGTCCTCCTACAAGTGGCAAGGAATGCATAATTTTTCCTAGTGGGTATTTCAATGATCATCATAATTAAAAACATACTCATAATTTCTAAATTCAGTTGGCATGACTTTTGCCTTCCAGACAATGTTAAATTGGCTAGAGTGACCCCTATTTTTGTTAGTCAGCAGTTTTTCACTTAAAAAAAAAACATTAAGGGACCATTATTGTGCCACACATTCCCATTAGCAAATGTTCCATGTGCATTAAGCAGCAGCAGGGGAAGTTCAGATTGGATATAAGGGAGATGTGGTCAAGCACTCGAACAAGGTTTTCAGGAAGGTCATCATGGCCTCAAGTGTGTATGTGGTTAAGTGCTTGGACAGCTCTTAAATACATGACTTAACTTTTAGGTTGCCTGATGTGAAGGTTTATGGAATATATGTATTTTCTAAATTACTTTGATGAATGTATTTTGTTATCATCTCAAGGCCGAATTCACCAGAATGCAAGGATTTACTTTTTGTGGTTCTTGAAATGTTCATCCCTGTGATAGCAGTGAATGTCTTAAGTGACGCTTCAAGTCTCAAAAAGTCAGGATGAAAAAGTAAACTAATAAATTAAAAAATACCATATCACATAAACAGGAATATAGGGTAAGATTTTCATCTATCAAGTGCATTAGTAGATGATGAAATGAGGCTTGTTATCTGGGTACACTGTTATCATATGAAGGTGTTCATTGTAGTGATCACAAAAATAACTTCTTTGTACAACCATTTAGACTATGAAAAATCTGCCCCTTAGAGCAATGCTAGTGTGGGCAGTGAGCAGTGATGTGTTGGATGGAACCCTGGATGCTGAGAATTTTAAACTTTCTGTGCTGAAAGGCACAGACCCACAAGAGAGCACTGCGTTTGACCTGAGGCTGTGGAGAAGGCTTCCAGAATTTATTAATAGCACTGGGATTATGGGTGTATAGTTGGTTAGAAGTGTGTAATATCACAGGGTGGAAAACTTAGAGTTTGGGGTTTTAGAACATAGTAATAAATATGAAGCAAGATGGAGGTTTTAGGGTGGAGGCAGGTTATTCTTCACCTTCTTCTTCTTTCTTCTTCATGGGTTTGGGTGATGTTTTGTAATTGGACAGAAAAGTCCTCATTGTGGGCTTCAAGGGATCAGTTATTGGGTTGAAAAGGCAAACAATCTTAGGTGTCATTTCTTAATTGGATAGTTTAGTCTTAAATGACCTTGTAACAAGAGATAGTTAGCCATTTTGTGCCTTGTTAATGAAAGGCTGCAGAACTCATGGTTGGGAGGCTGTTTCACTGATAACAATAAACACCTGAGTCTGAATGTGAGCTATCGTCCCAAGTGCCTTCAGTCCTGAGCCCGACAGAGATAGAAAAAACGAGCAGAGAACTGACATGATGGACCTCAGGATAGTGGCCAGGTGTACCAAGCAGCTCTGGTTTGTATCCAGATGATGCTCCCTGCTCTGAGTCAGAGCTCATAGCATGCTGATGAGAGAGAACTGTGGTGTGCAGCTCACACCTACTCAAGCATTTGGCACTTCCAGCAGAGCCAGAGGCAGCACAATTGCATGAGCAGGATGGGAACTCTGTGCCAGCACTCCTTAAACCTGTGTGAGCAGCCTGGCACTTGAAGGGTAATGAGAAACTGCTGTTTTGCAGAAAGAGCGAGTGAGCTGTATTACAGCACAGCACACAAATCCTATCATCAGTGTTGTAACCCAGCCTGCCCTCTTGGAAAGAAATATTTGTAACAGAAAATGGGCTGATCATTCCCCTGTGAGTGATGGAGGAGGCTTCAGGTCCCTGTGTGATTTTTTAAAACTCAGTTCTACTAGATCCAAAATCCTGTTACTTTAGAATGAGCTAAGGCCTTAGTACAAGAGAGAGACTTTTGCTTCAGATACTGCATGTAGAATTTGATATATATTTTTGTCCTTTCAGCATAAAATTTTATTTTGGAAGCAGTCTTTTGATTTATATTCTGTACAACTATTTATAAGTAGCGCTTTATGACTTTAGTCTGAAAATATTGATTTAAAATTGCCTCCTGCATTTAAGTGAGTGTTACTTGAGTATAGGATGTGCTTTTTACTTTACTACATTTATTTTTTTAGCTAAAGTGGAATTATATTAATTTTAATAACTGGAGATAATACTGTAAGAGGAATTATCTGTGGCATTGACATTCAGTGAAAGGTTGCAGTGCAGATATGGAATTCCTAGAGAATATTATTACTTGGATAACTTTTTATTGTGCTTAAAAGCTTACCTAATTAATCAATGTGTGGTGTATATCCCAAAGAAAGAGAAAGACCTTGTTTTCAGTTTTTCTTTTCAAAAGGGCTGCTGTGACAGAACATACCTAGTTTCCTCTAATGAGATTTCCTGAGAGAAAATTATCTGCTTCATTTTGTGGTATATGAAGGTTTATGTAATAGGGTCATAAAGAGATAAGAACTGGGAACTCGGAGGAAAAGTAAACTATTTACATGAAGCTGCTAAAATTAACTACAATTATTTAGATTAATTGTGTGCAGGTGTTCTTGTCTAAAGCATAATGATTGAGGCCTACCACAGCAATTCAAAACACATTGCAAGATGTTTTGCTACAGCAGAAAAATTTAATCTGTATTTAAAATTATTTATGTTACCATAACATGAGAATTAGACCTGTAAATACTGTAATCCCAAGCCAAAGCAAATACATGCCCCTACCTTTCTTTTTGCTCACTTTCTCATGACTAGTTTGTGAAATACTCTAAATAGAATAGTGCAGAAGATTTCTAGCTGATGCTGGCTTCAATGTGATTAATTTCTTCTCAGGTGAGGTAGATGGGACCTTGCATTTGCATGGCACATAATCTGGTACTAGGATCAGTTGTTTCTTTATTACCACTTGAAGCTTCTAACCTTCAGATGTGCCAAAGCTATTTTATTATTGGATTTGTAGGCTGCACTCAAACAGTGTAGGCATTAACCTCATCTAATTTCAAACTAACAGTGTGAACAGGTATGGCTAAAATTGTTACTGTAGATCCCTCTTAAATGAAGAGAATAAATTTAGTCTGTATTCATCTGAAATGCTTGCAGTGTCTAATGTATAATGAAATATATGAATTAATATTTGTCAGGTAAGTCCTGCCTCAGGAGTGAACAGGTTAATGACCTCTCAGGATGGATGATCCCGCTGAAAAGAGCTGAACTGAAACAGAGGTTCACAGCTTTGATCTGTGACAGCTTTTCCATTTGAATTTTAGATGTGATCCAGACTTTCCATACTTCACCTTTCCATATATAGGAGACAGACAAATCTTTACGGGTAGAACCATTAGTTTAGCATGTCTAAGATGTATCACCTTACAGTCATGCAGCTGCAATAGTTTTGGTTTGTGTTGTCTATTTTAATACCTGTGATCATGGTGACTGAAACAATGAAAGCCTGAGGTTTGATAAACCTCTAATCTCTGCTTGCCAAGTGGTAAATTTTAGCATGAACTCTGACTTGTGAGTAAGGGCACAGAAGAGTCAAAAAGGCTCTGTAGATTGTAATGGCTTATGGCCACAGTGAGCGACACGCTTTCCTAAATAACATGGAGATGGGCAATGAATTTTAGAGTGCATACCATCTTCTGCTGGTTCATTAAGTATTTCCCTTTGTATTTCAGTGATATGCCACTTGGG